ATTAACTATATTATAGAAAATTACATAATTCATTTTTGAACAAATATTCATTACAATTAAAATTGGCTAATTTATAAAAATTGCTCGTGAAAGATACACTTATAAAATGTTTTAAATTGTTTTGCAAATAATTACATTGATCGATATGAAGCAGCAATATCGAAGAAGAAAATTTTATTGACAGTTAACAGGTGTCTTTTCTTGGTCTTCCCTATTTTATATATTGAAGCACCGCCCATTTAAATATATTTTTACAAACTCGACGATCATAAAAATATAGACAATATATCTCATTAAAATGCGATGGGATTGTCAACGAGCAGTCGTGTTAAATATAAAACAATATAAATTAATATAAACACTACTTATAATAATCATAAACAAAGCACCATGAAAGCAATTAGTATCGTCTTAATGCTGGCGAGTTTTAACCTCTACGAAGCTTGATATTGAAAAACTTGCAAATACAAAATGGTTGATACGTAACTACTTAAATTACCTTCATCTGGCTAGTTCTTGCTGCCAAATTTCATTTAAATTACAAACGAAATTTGTAACGTCCGTCATATGCCTCAGGTAAAGTATCACCACTTTCTCGAATGAGTGCACGTAGCGCATGCACACTGAGCCTTCACAAAGGTCGTTTTACAATCGACTATCGCTTAAAACTATTATACACTAAAACGTAAGAAATTAAAGCTTGCATAATAAACGTTACAATCGGCAAGCTTGCCAATGCGATACGAAGGTTTCGTCGGCGCCGGTATGAAAAAACTTGTATTGCAAACAATCTCTTGCGTAGGCAAACTCATACTGCAATTGACCGTAAACGTATTCGCATATCTAACCTAACCTGTTCACCAATTGTGATCACACTGATCACGGATCACCTTTAAATATACGAAAGTGATCATTACGACTAATTACATACAGACCAATTATAATCTTTGAATTGTATTCGATAAATTATTATAAAAAAATCCATAAATAAAAATCCGAAATTTTAGTAAAATATAAAGTAAATAATAAATATATACTATTCTCTATAATTATTATTGTTATGAAATAAAATCGTTCGCGCATTTATTTCGCAATATCTTAGTAGCACAAAAAAAATAATGAGAAATCTATTATTAATAAACATTTTAACGTCTAATAAGCATCTACTTTATAACAAATATATTATAATTTGAGTAAAAAAATAATTTTACGATACGCGTTTGCCGAAAGGATAGCTGTGTTTCTTTTATTAATTATTTAATTATTTTTATTAATTTCATTTTATTTTATATCGAAACTCAAGATCTCTATCGTTATTAAAAATTATGATGTAATATCAAAAGTATAAAGTAATTTTTAATAGCGGAACTTGGCCCTTTTTCAAAACTTAATATTCAATACGCATGGGTTTCTAATTACGTTCTTCCCTCGTTAACGTCGCATTCTCCAGAGTTCTAGTGAGACGTTATCAAGTAGTACATAGGAGTAGACACATTTTCCTATTGACTGCATACTGCAAAATGCTGCTGACTCGATGACGTCATAGAGAATTCAACAGTAATACCTTAGATTTTCCACAATTTTTCTACCTCCGTTAGCTTTTGCGAACATCCCCGCCATTTTACTGCGCATCCAATCCGCAGTGTAGCGTTGAAATATCAGCTAATCAGAGCAAAGCAATTTCTACTCCTATTCTCGCTAATGGAGCGCGCCGCGGCCCGAGGAGAGTCTTACGAAACTTGAGGTATTACTGTATCTTCACTGTGATTTTACCAAAGACAAAGATAGGTTCTGACGTTTTTCTATACATTATTGTCGGTAGGGTTTTAGGGATTACTGCGAATATACATATGTACATGTACGCTCTTACATAAGTGCGCGGTGCAAGAATAATAAAGTGTCGCGGTTCATAGGTAGTATTTGAAGGTTATCGAATTTTTTAGCCACAATAAAAATTTCAGTGAAAGTTTTGTTTCGTGTTTGCGATATTCTGTTCGATGCGTTGAAATAATCGTTACAAGCAGTGTTGCAACTAAATTTGATTTATTTACGAACGCGATCGTACGATCGACATATTTTTGAACACCGAACCGGTCATCTGTCGTGTCGAGTTGCTGACGTTGAAAATTAGAGCAACGTGATGATGATTTTGGTTAGAGTTTTCTAATGTACGCATCGAACGATTGATTTTCGAAATAAAAGTTTTTCACACTCTAATCGATAGTACTAAAACGCAATAATGCATACTTTTTTTACGCGTGCTAATGCTATCTCAGCTTATGCATTGAGTATTCTGGGGTGTGTAACGTTTTGTTGTTTTCTCTCGACTGTATTTATCGATTATAGAGCCTATGCAACATTAAATACCGTAAAAGTAGTTGTGTAAGTATGATTACATTATTTTCGTAAATGTTATAAATATAAATACGTCGAAAAATAAAGTTTTAATTTAATATTTTCAATTATAGCCTCCTATCAGCTTCCCATATTTGATATTTCTTTTACTAATTATACGATCTTTTTACGAGACTTTTCTATTAACGATACTTGTTTTTCTAATTAAACTATCAAGAGCAACAACTATTGCATATATCGTTAACAATATGTCGAATAACTATTTATGTTTTAATTTTGCAGAAAAAACGTGCCTGA